CCATTAGCCATTGCTGCTGCTCTGGCTGCTGCTGCCTGATCTCTAGCTGCTTCGTTTGTTGCTGCCAACGCTGCTGCAAGAGCACGGGCTCTTCGTTCGACACGGGCCTGAAACACGTGTGGGAACCTAATTGCCCTCGAACGTGTTCGTCTCCGAATGTCAACTCTACCCTCATCGGTGTCTGACCCACTCATCAGTTAGGCAAACACTGTCTGCACTATAACCCCCTAGTGGAGTCCTACCACAGCATGTGTCTGACCGGCACCTAATTTTCTAAAAATAATTGTGTCCGGCAGGTCCACTACTTTTACCGATCAAGTGGCAGCCTACAACATTCACAATAGAATGTCAACATAGTCTAGGTGTATCTTGATTGGTTCACTTACAGCAGCATTAGATAGAACTGGCTATGGTAGTATACAACAGTCCTACTCTAATCTGTCTCTGAGGTGTTAGCAGCTGTCAACCAACTAATCAATAATAAACCAAGACCATGTTGCAGATGTATGGTCAGTGGGTATGGTTGTGTTTCCAGTTGAGCATCAATTAGAACCTACCCTCCCCTCGATCTAACATACCAAATAGCATCAATGAGCAGCGGTGTCTTCGTGTGTTTTCCGCCCACCCCTGTGCCCAAGTCATTGCCGAGCAAGCCAGCCCATCCACTCTTATTTACCCTTGTACGGAACGAGCCTTATTGCCCAGTGTGATCTGGCTGATCAGGAGGAATTTAAGGAGAGCCCCCATCTCCGCAGGAATTATTTAACGTCGCAGACAGGACGACGATCACAGCCAGAATCAACACTGAGTCCCCAACCAGAAACGTTTATAGATGGTCTGGTAAGCGTCTCTTATGAGCTGGCACACCCGGCAGGACTTCTATCAGCGCAGCAAAGTGCCAAAATGGACAGCAGCCATCGCATGCGTGACCTACTCCCATTGGGTTGGCATGGTGACCGTGACCCAGTGCTTCGACCAGGGCCCTTCAGAGGCACCTCCCTTTCTCCTTCCAGATGCTTCCGGGAAGATTGTCGTCTCTCAAGGTAGCGCGCTCACGACACCTCACCGAAAGAGAGGACTCTCAAGTTGGACTCACTTCCTCGCGGTAAGAAGAGATTGAGAGAGTAGATAAGGTAAGGGAACAATGTACCTGGAGATAGCTGCCCCCAACCACAGATTTCTCACCAATTGAGCTGAGTGTGCATTTGATGACCGGTCTTGGCCTCGGTACCACCCACAACGCAATGCAGTGCCACCTCAGCCGAATGCCACATCAGCATGCTCTCATCACCAATCATACATTCCGCCTGTCACCACGGCAATCAATGCCGTCTTAGCCTTCCGGCGCACACCTCTCTACCCAGGCTGTGTGCCTAATATGGCCTGATGTCACAAGAACCAACTGCGAAGAAGCATTGTCAACGCACCAAGTCTGTATAACGCCAGCGCACCAAGGTAAGTGGCGAATCAAACCAGCTCTGATACCAAAATGCAAGGAACATGAATATGGACGAAGCACAGAAATCCAGATTTGCAAAATCACACTGAAGTCCAAGTAGTCAAAGCAAGAGCAGATAGCACAATGGAACCGAGTAACCATCCATTTGAGAACGATACAGAAGAATCGTGAGTCAATGTCCAAGCCCAACAGGGCAACACCAACAGCATAACCCAATGTANGGAACCGAGTAACCATCCATTTGAGAACGATACAGAAGAATCGTGAGTCAATGTCCAAGCCCAACAGGGCAACACCAACAGCATAACCCAATGTAGCTCTCTCTCTTGAATGGCGCCAGGCGCCCTACCTACTCTACAGCCTAACACTACAACTACAGTATGAAAGCAACCAGACAACTTGACGACCAGCGAGTGATGATGTCAACACCAATGCCGACCTCCCATCTCCAACAGGTACGTCTCCCTCTTCACCCACACTCTCCCTTGTTATCCCACACAGCGCCCTTCACCTTCGAAGAACCACCTTCGCCCTTCCTCCTCTGCGCCCTCAGGCAGCCCAGCTATGGCCGCCAGCGCCCTGCGCCCAGGCAGCGCTCTACCGCTTAGCGCTTGCCTGCCTTCCTCAGCCTAGCGCAGCGCAGCACCTCGCAAATGTGCAGCGTGCCGGCATTGCTCGCAATGGCCAAAATCCCTGCCCACTCGCCCTGCGTGCCTATATGCCAGTGTTGTGTGTGGGCGGCCTTCCTTTAGCCAGCGCCTGGGCCCCAGTACCTGAACCCAGACCCGATGCGGTTGGGGGCCCAGGAGATGCAGTTGCGCCTCTTTCATCAAGGCCTGCGGCCAGATTCAGATAGTGGACCGGTTTCCCATTGGCATTTTCGTCCTCTATATCCAGCATGCATTGTCGGCCTCACGTTTATGTACCCAGGGCCTAACCAACTCGGGGCCCTGGGATTTCTGCATTTGCAGAGCTCCGATACGCGGTGCACACCAACCAACTGGTGTGCTGCAACTGTATGGACCCCACTTCGTGAAATGTTTGCTGAGAGGGCTCTTGTTGATTTGCTGGCCCGCCTTCACTTAGGGCGGGCACGAGGCTTGCTGGGGCCTTAGCCCAGAACATGTACATCATGGCAAGGCCCCTTGAGGGCTCAATCCTCACAGCTGAGATGCCATGGCCATTGGAAGTGAACTCTTATCTGGATTGCCATATCTCTGAGTTTTGAGTGGGCGCATGTCGCCAGTTTGCTGCGCTACTGTTTGCATATTGCACGGATTTCAAGAACCGCAAGTGCAGACTGCGAAAATAATTCCCGTTCTAATCAAAATGCAATTATGCAATTTCACTGACGGTCTGACATCTGAGGCAGACAGGAAGTCATCATTACGAACTGACCAATTTCTGACTGCCAATGATGACTGCCAACTGACAGGACTGACCAACAGACCGACAATAAATTTCGGTTGCCACACACAGAACCAGGTAGGCAATCGAAGCAGATCAGGGTCGGTGGGATGCAATTCCTCCTTTTTCTTTTGAATTAGAACAGATTCAGAGGGGGGTCGGAAACAACCTGAACGGTGACTGATGCAGACTGAGGATTGACAGACACTGACGGATACTGACAGGGTCTGACTTGACGTCAGACCTTCAGTGAAGATTCCCACAGTCTTGAAATCAAGTAACTCGTTGAAGTAACTGCAGCAGCGACCCAGACCATGTAGGGCTGATGCAGCCATCAAATCTGCTCTCGCAAGCTGAAACTTCCAGTGAATGTTCCACCACTCCGCATCTCTCTTTTTTTTTTTTTGATAGCGGTAATTCTCCCCTCGCACACCACCTTCCACCACCTCTACTAACCGCCGCTCAGAAAGGAGGTTGCGTTTTTTTTTTTTTTTTTTTTGATAGCGGTAATTCTCCCCTTGCACACCACCTTCCACCACCTCTACTAACCGCCGCTCAGAAAGGAGGTTGCCGCTCAATTGCTCGCTGGTTGCACACGGTCGCAGCTCTAATACCAACGGTTATGTACCCGATTGAACTTCAACCCACGATGAATTCACACGTTCCCATACACGCATGCAATTGCAGAGTAGGCTCGAAGGAGGCAAATCCACACAAAACTGCAGAGAAGATATGCACAGCGGAAGCTCAAAATACACAGAGAATTGAAAAAACGAATTTCAATTCTGTAATCCCCCGTCCTCTTCCAATCAATCCAGAGTACTTGTTCCAAGAATCACAACCGCGTTTACAACAACCCCGAACAACCAAAACAAGTGTCCAACGAAGTATGCAGAGTCTTCTTCCTCCTCCTCGTGGCGTCATACCCCTGGCTATGGCTGTCGTAGCAGCAGTAACCCCACAGCTGTCACAACGTGCCAATCTGAACCGGCAACCCCAATGATAGCAGCGCCAGTTCGGAGCCCACACGAAAGTGCAGAGCTGGAAGTCCTGATGAAAAAGGAGACAACCGATCCAGCACTTCGAAGAAGAAGAAGTTCCTTGCGAGGAGGAACAGCAGATATGGCTGCCAAGTGGAGAATGGCAGCGCCCAAACCCAGCAACACAGTCCTGCGGAACCTCTCGTGCCATCGTCGATTTCGTTTCCCAGCCCCAGCTATGGTTGGGCTTCGAGGAAGAAGATGCCCTCGCCTAAAATAGCACAGCAGCGCTCCAGCAATGGACGGGTAGAGTTTCTCCAGGAAAATGCAAAAGACCCGAAACGAATTTTCTGCCCGCTACTTCTACTCCCGGACTAGACCTACGGGAGCAACCTACGACTCCCCTTACCTTCCCAGGAAACAGGAAAAGGGGACCCGGACCTACGACACAGCACAAGATAAAGGCCGAATGGCCTAAGACTACCAAACAGAGATCACTGCTGGCAGACTCAGGGATCAAGTCCCAGAGGACGCAGCACTCGCAAACAAAACATACAAGTTACAAGTCATGCGATCAAGTCCCACAAGGCGCAAAACGAGCAAACAGGCGACACAGCAGACAAAGGCTGCGGGGTCAAGTCTCGACAACAGCAACAGGGGCAAAATTAGTATACGGAGCTTGTAGCACTGCAATTCATTGAACATCAACCGGCCAATCAATCTACTGTCCTTTATCAAGGGATCAAAGGAATTGGTCGATGTGAGGTGCCGATGATCTGTTTTTTTTTTGTTTTTTTTTTTTTTYTGGGTTTGGCTGTCGTCCTGTTTCATTGAAGGATCAGCGCAGATAGCCAGCCCATAGAACTTTGAAGCGATCATATCATTCCTGAATAGGAATTTCCAAAAGAAGTACTTTGTTGAGGCGACTCTCTGATATGCATCTCTTTTCTCGTGTAATGGGTGAGAGTGTTGTGTGCAAACGCACTGAGAAGAACGTGGCTTGGTTGCATGCATGGACGAATGTGCTTACGTATGCTATGCGTGGATGTATATGTATTTCCGTGGTACACAACAGGGGGTAGCGACTGTTTCTTAAAAACACAGGACTCTGCCAAGTGGTAACACGATGTATAGAGTCTGACACCTGCCCCGTGCTGGAAGGTGAAAAGGAGAAGTGACATAAGCGTCCTCGGGGTTGGTCATGTCTTTCCTCGTCCAAGACTGCACCTTGCGTGTCTGTGTGCCATCGATGTGTTGCTCTGCCTGTGGGTGTGCATGTTCGTGGGGAAGGGTTGTGTGAGCCAGAGGATGCTTGAGAACACAGTCGAGAAGATCGTCGGGTGAAGTCATGCAAGGATCATTCACATATGTATATATGACAAAGGAGATGAAGACACAGCGGGCGAGGTATGCTTGAGATGCAACGGCAGCGGCGCGTTGAGGTGTGGGGAGAGCGGGGGGGTGTAGGAGAAGGGAGTCGTCCACAAGCTGTTCATGATTGTTTTTTCCTCTTATGGGAGGATGAGGGGAAGTTGAGGATCCATTTACAAAGTGCTCTTTCAGGATCCTTGTTGTGCAAAAATGGGATTGTGGTTGATTGGCATTCGATGGGGTGGGAGGAAAGGTGAACCTGAGAGCAGGAGAGGAGGAAAGGTGAACCTGTGGCAGTTGTGAGATAGAAAGGTGGTTGGCATTTGATTGCCAGCAGAGAGGTGGTGCTTTGGACAGTGCCACACTCTTTTTCTCTGCATCGCTCTGCCTCTCCCTCTACGGTGGTGCGCTTCTACTCTCGTTGTCTCTCATTCTCTCTGTGTTTCTTTTCGATGGCTTCTTCGGCCCCTTGCCGTCTCTGTCTTTCTGTGTCAATAAAAAACAGTCGAGGAGAGCGGAGGGTTGTGTGCGGTTGTATTTGGAATCTTGGAGGGGAAGTGCTTTGATTTTGGAGAAATGAAGCTTAAAGAACACGGGGTGTCCTTTCAGGTCTGTGGGTCTTGGTCCTGCCTGGCTCCTCCGCATACACATACACACACACACACACAACACAGACACACACAACACACACACACACACGCACGCACACACACGCACACACACACAGCCACACAGACACACACACACACACACACAGGGAGAGAGAGAGAGAGAGAGAGAGAGAGAGAGAGAGAGAGAGAGAGGTGGTGACGTTTATAGTTCTATTGGGGAAGGCGGCTTCGCATGGGGTTGGGTCTGGTAGGGGTGGAGCTATTGGGGAGAGGGGACATTAGTGTGTATGGCTTTGGTTCTAGCATCTGGCAATGGAGGGTACGCAAGCATTGAGTTTGGCACGAGTTCCCCGCCCGGAGCGTTCGATGCAAGTGGTGGAGGAGGGAGGGCAGGTTGCTAGGGGACGTCTGTGGCAGGGTGAATCTGGCTCCTCAGGCTGTGCTGCAAGTGATCGGTTTCATGGAAACGATGGAGGAGGGTGTTCTATTGTCTCAGACGCGTTAACAGCTCTAGAGAGTACTGGGTTGCCAGAAGGTAACACCAGCCGAAGGTGGGTGGACAGTAGTGGGGAAGAACGTTGTGTGGTAGGGTCTGGTCTGCATCTTGGTCGGTGCAATTTGCCCTCTGTCGAGATTGGAAATGGGGAATGTAGTGAAGTTGCAACTGTGGTTGCCGCAGCTGGCATTCAGGGAAGGAGACGGGATAGACAGAGAGGGCGGGAACCGTATTCCCTTCTGTCTCAAGTTCATGGTCCCGTTCCTAGTCATCCTCAAAGCACTCTTAATCTGATGCGAATGCACTCGGAAGTAGACCTGCAGTCCGACTCTGTGAGAGGAATGCAAAGACGTGCAGTGGACAGAGTGGAGGATGAAGAGAGAGGGGGAGGAAGAGAGGAGCAGGCCTCATCTAACGACTCGGGCCTCGTTCTGCTGGGCCTGGCCAGCGGCAGCCGACAGAGGGGGGCTGCCGAGTCCACGACTGCAAATGAAAGGTCAAGAACCCGCCATCAGCCAGCGGGAGAAGGGGGAGGGGGAGAACCACAAGGAGGGTTCTTCGGTTCCAGAGCTGGAAGAAGAAGTCATGGACTGAGTGATGGGCGTGCTCATATGAAGACCCGATTTGGTGCAGCCGCAGCAAGAGCCTCCTCATGCTCCTCTCATGATAACAGTGATGACACTTCTCATCATCCTTGGGTTTCTAGGGGCAGCAATGAAGATGGAAAAGCGACTGTGAGTGGTCAGGATCGGGATTACCTGCAGGTGAGAAGCGCCCGCCCAACATTGATGGCGAGTATGCTGGCAGAGCAGGCTCGTGATGCAACATCACTGGTGTCTAACAGCCTGCCTATCACTCTGCGACCAGATACTTCTAGAGGGTTGAATGCAATAAACAATGACGATGGCTCATTGTCACCTCCTGTGCAAATCACGGGTAATGAGAGAGAGACATCCGCTGGTGGTGGCCTGGAGGAGGGTGGTGGGGATTTGAACACCAACCATGGGTCTCAGGGCCATGCTGAAGCGGTCCCCTCTCATTGCCCTGATCATAGCATCTCAGAGGACGGCTGTGGCGGCAAGGAAGGGGAGGGCAAGGACAAAGATGATGACCAAGATGACGATGACTTTCACATGGAGAATCGACTTTGCACAAGGAGGATGAGAAGATGGAGAAAGCGCCGGCGAGGTGAAGAGGAGGGATCCAGTGAAAATGGAAATCTCTCCGAATCTTTGGAATGCCGTATCCAGCATCGGACAAAGAGAGGGGAGACAAGTGGCAGGACATGCAGGAGTGTCAGGAAGGATCCTGAAACTTCATCTTCGTTTGAGAGCGAAACGAGGAATGGTGCGTCATCATCTAGTCAGCATGCTGAGCGGGGTGTTTGTCACGCTATTAGGATGACATTGCGGTCAGCCAGTCGGGCTTCACCTGCCATACTGGGTCGCACCCGTCTTGACTTAAACCGTTTCCCTGAGGCCCATGGCAGTGAGAATAATCAGACTGGGATCACAGCGAGGGCAAATGTTTCAGAGGCTGCGTCGCCCGTGCAGGGGGCCAGGGAGGAAGGGGCAACTGATGCCTGTCCTATACGCGATGGAGGTGTGCAGGAGGGGATACAGGATGGTTCGGAGAGATGGGGTGGTTCTCAAAGTCTTGTCCGGAACAGTGCCGGGGATGTTATTCCAACTACATCTCCAGTTTTGGTAGATGAGGACACTTCGGAAAGTGAGAATCGTCCCCGGGGGGTAATCGATATCGATGACGGAGCGAATGGTGTGGAGGCTGATGAAGACACCCGATCAGGCTCTGGGCAGTTTGGTCGTAGGTACCATCCGTTGTCCTTCAATGGAGACATACTGAATGGGTGAGTTCCTCCAAACCCCACCCCACCACCTTCAGATCTCCTTTTTTGTCTTCTATTACATGTAGGAATCATGGTCAATCCCCATATGGGAAATCGTTGAAGAATATCAATTCAGGGCGTTACTCAATATCTTAGCGTAATCTGCAAAAAGCTCACAAAATAAACCCAATCTGCGCTCCTCCCACCTTGTGTAACCATGGAACCCAATATGCGCTCCTTTTTGTCTTCTATTACATGATGAAACGGTATTCACCAATTCGTGGTAGCTGAGGTAGATCCCAGGGCTCGATCCCTAGT